TTCATTTAAAAAATAATTTAGTTACTCTTGGATCTAGGACCATTATTAAATTTGAACTAAGAATCTCCATTTTATATTTTACAAAAGAATCACGTGTATTAAAAATCAAACCAAATTATTCTGGACCATGTTTTATGAAAAACAAAATCTGTTGTAGAACTAATGAAACGATTTTGAAAAGAAATTTGGTTCAAAAACTTTAAGATGTCTAAAAGATTTCTACTCTCAGGAAAACACTATTTTTCATCCATTTAGGAAAAAATCCTGAATATATTGCATTAATTTAGCTTTTCCTCTGTTTCATTTCCAAATTTTACTCACATTTCATTCTTTTCTTTAGGATAAATCTAAATGAAAATACATCAATTATTTATATATGATAGTTGATTTGAAGGTTTAGAATCACCGCTCCTCTCAAACCATTAGGCAAACCTCTAACTAAACAGATGGGCTTTAAACATGTTTTACAAAATTTATATTTTACCAAATGGGAATAACTGGAGGTAACTGATACTATAACCAATATATGTATTTGGAAAGAAGTTTCTCTTCCCTTTTCACAAAACTGTTATGACAGAGTGTTCCACATCATACACATAAATGCAAAAAGACAACCATTTCCATCTGAATTACTGTCATTTCTTGTATGTAAAATTCTCTTTGTTTATAGCACACTTTAATGCCAGATGCATCTCAATTTTCACATGAATCACATCTCATTTGTCTTTCCATAACCTTGAAATGTGTCAGTATACTTCTTAATTTCATTGCATATATTTATTCATTATGTTACACTGTACATGTTTTTTAAATGTGCAGTATTTTTCATGGGAAGTTAATGACAAAAATAAATGGCTCTGCATTTTTCTAATATCTATGACAGAAAAGTTAACCTTTTTTTGTTTACTTGTTAATGTATCATTAAGGTGCTAGAGCAACATTGTCCAGTAGTAATATAATGTAAGCCACAAATATAATTTAAATTTTCCTACTAGCTGAATTAAAAGAAGTCAAGAAAAATGAGTGAAACTAACATATCATAGCAATATATTTTATTCAATCCACTATATATCCAAAATATTATCATTCTAAAATGTAATCGACATATAAAAAGTTACTGAATTTTTTACTTTTTTTCATACTAAGTCTTCAAAATCTGGTGTGCATTTTACGCTTCCAACATATCTCATATTACATGCTAAGTATTCATCTGAAGTACCTGATCTGTATTTAGATCCCATACAATTTTACAGTTTAAAAAGTTGATTTACATACTTAAGTTGTTCCAAACAAACTTGAAAATGTTCCATTACTGAGTCAAGTACCAAAGAATCATTTTCCTCAATATTTGCGCCCACATTCACAAACAATTGATTTGATTTTCATGCAGAAGCATACTAATTTTAAAACTACATCTCAGTTAAATCAATTCACTAATTCTTGTGTTAATTCGGTATTAACCTTGAATTCAAGGTCAAAAAACAATTTTAGATTTATCAATATCAAGAAAGCCTTCAAATTTTTCTTGTACTTTTGCAAGGAATTTACATGATGTCATTTATAAGTAAAATACTTTGTATATTCATTGACATGTCAAATCATTATTACTGATTTGTATCATGAAAAGTTTGAATTTTAACATATATGCTTGTACCTGTGTAGTTAGGTCATGAATAAGCTTTTTTCCTCTCAATGATGTCTCCAAATTTCACTCTTACAGATATTATTTTCTAATAACAGTAAACAAATATATTGTATTATTACCATATTTTACAGAGTTTCAGCTACCCCTAGCTTGTGGCAACACTATAATATATAATATATTTAATATAAAATAAAAAGTTATAAAAATAAAAAAAATAATATATACTATATTAATAGTTTTTTTTTTTTTTTTTTTGGAGATGGAGTGCTTCTGCTCTTCGCCCAGGCTGGAGTGGCATGGCCGATCTCCCTCCTGCAAGCAAGCTCACCTCGCCCCGGGTTTACCCATTCTCCTGCCTCAGCCTCCCGAGTAGCTGGGACTACAGGCGCCCGCCACCTCGCCCGGCTAATTTTTTTTTTTGTATTTTTTTTAGTAGAGACGGCGTTTCACCATGTTAGCCAGGATGGTCTCCATCTCCTGACCCCGTGATCCGCCTGTCTCGGCCTCCCAAAGTGCTGGGATTACAGGCTTAAGCCACGGCGCCTGGCCGCAACACTATATTTTATAGGCCTAAGGTTAGAGCTTTTTGTGGACTCCCCTTCCCCGAGTGAAAGCAGATGCACTTTTCTACATACAGCTTCATATTTGATGGCTCCCTAGTGGCAAATTTGCAAACCAGGGAGCCCACGTAATGCCTTCCTCAACTGGGCAAAGTTATTGGCGACATTCACATTAACTCAGTTTGTGTTTCTGATTGGTAATCTATTGTTTTGCATTTCTTTTATTATTGAAATGTTTAATCTTGTCTGAAAAATCTCCACTGTTCAAAACGGAGGCTTTATCCAAACAAATCTTTATCCAAACAAGTCTATTAAATCACCAATTTGAATCTTTTTATATTTATTTCCAAGGTGGCCAGGAAGTTCTAGGGCTAAAGTAATGCTACTAGGCCCCTTACTGAACACAGGCCTCCTGGAAAACAGCATATATTTAAGGCTTGGTAAAAATAAATTATCTGGGAACTCATTATATCCTATACCTTCTATACAATTATTCTTCTAGGCTTTTGTGAACTTCTGGATAAGAATTAATAAATAAGAAAGTATATGTCCACATAAGAGCTTATACATTAATTTTCATAACAGCATTATTTGTAATAGCCGAAAAGTAGAAACAACCCAAATGTCCATCAACTGATGAATAGATAAACAAAATGTGGTATATCCACATAATGGAACATTATTCAGCCATAAGCAGGAATCAACCGCTGATATATGCTACAACATGGATGAACCTTGAAAGCATTATGCTACATTAAAGAAGCCAGTCACAAAAGGCCACATAGTGTATGATACCATTTGTATGAAACATCTAGAATAGGCAATTCCATAGAGATAGAACATAGATAGTGGTTGCCAGGAGCTGGAGGAAGGGGGAAATGGGGAGTGACTGTTAATGAGTATGAGGTTTCCTTTGGGGATGATGAAAACGCTCTGGAATAAAGTAGTGGTGATATTCAACTTTGTGACTAAATTAAAAAGTGCTGGATTGTACACTTTAAATGGGCATATTTATGGTATGTGGATTATATTTCGATGAATATTATTAATAATTCAATGATTATTTTTCAATGAATATTAAGTATATCTATATATTAAGAATTACTTAACAAATGATTTTTTTAAATATAGTATTTCCTATAGCCTTTACTAGCAGAGAAGTCCCTTGCCCTTAGAACCTCCCATCCTGTCTTTACCAATACATTAGAGGTCTATTTAACTTATTTTGAGTGGAAGGAATTATTTTTTCATCCTGAGTGTACTAACTGGACTAGGAGTCAAAAGACCTGGATTTTCCTGTTCCAAAATCTGATAGTTATGAGTTACGTAACTTTGGATCAAGTCTGGCGTTCAGTTTCCTCATCTGTAAAAATGGCAATGGATTTGATGACATAAGTCAGGCACTTTTTAAAAAACATTAACTTCCTTGTATAATTGTGTGAAAGTGACCTGATGATATTGAAAGGCCCTTCCATACCTCTCTCCTAGAGAACAGCCAAGTACTGCTGCAGAAAATCCCTCAGCAGGCCATGGTCCCCAATCTCAAATGGGCACTCAACACTGCCCAGCAATCCAGCTTTTTTCTCCAAGTAGCTAATTCTTTCATTGCCATTGTAAGTCATTTAAACTCTTCACCACTCTCAAAAATCACTCCTATACCCTGCACTTCTCCTTCTACTGTTAGTACATGATGTTACTTTTTACTTCACAGAGAAAATAGAAGCCAAGAGATAGCCAGCTCTTAATATCCCCTTAGCTAAATGCATAAACTTGTCTGCATTCCATCTTCCTTCCTTCCTGTTACAGAGAGGAGGGCCTTACTTTTGCTTTAGGTAATTCTCCCAGTGTGCTTTGAGGCTCATCCTTTCCACCTTCTTAGGAATCTGACACCACTCATTTTACCTCTACTCTCTTCTAATAGATCCTTCCCAACAACTGCTAACCTAGTTCAAGCTTCTTTTATTAACAAAATGAAACATTGAACCCAGAGGATTGCTGGTATTTCCAGTTACTGACTAAAGTATAGCTGCCATTGGGCAAAGGTTGAATCACAGTTTATAATTCATTTTGTTAGCCAGCTTTGCCATTAGGTTATTCTTGATTATTATCTTTTTACAATTTGAAAGTATTTGTATTAATTAAAATTTTATGCATTGTACTTTATTCATACTTTTATGTTACATTCTTTCAAATTCACACTCATTGTGATATTTGTGTGATGATTTGATTATTCTTTGTCTTTGCCACTAGATTGTAAGCTCACTGAGAACAGGTTCTGTGTCTGTATCCCCAGAGCACATAATAAAAACTCAGTAAATATTTGTTAGAAAAAATGAATGAAGGAGGCCAGGCACGGTGGCTCATGCCTGTAATCCCAGCACTTTGGGAAGCCAAGGCCGGTGAATCACGAGGTCAGGAGTTCGAGACCAGCCTGACCAACATGATGAAACCCCATTTCTACTAAAATACAAAAATTAGCCAGGCATAGTGGCAGGAGCCTGTAATCCCAGCTACTCAGGAGGTTGAGGCAGGAGAATTGGTTGAACCTGGGAGGCAGTTGCAGTGAGCCAAGATCGCACCACTGCACTCCAGCCTGGGTAACAGAGTGAGACTCCGTCTCAAAAAAAGGAAAAGAAAAAATGAAGGAATGGAATTCTATGAGACAGAACAAGCAAAGGAGTAAATATCAGTTTGTTTAAAATTAGGCTGGTTTATAGATGTTAAATATTTTTAAATGCATTGTACATTATGATAACCAAAAATGAGCATTGAAATTTTTTGATGTTTTTATTTAGGCCATGGAAGCAGGTCTCTCAGAGGTAAAAAGTGAGTTACAGTCACGTGATGATCTCTTGAGAATTATAGAAATGGAACGATTGCAATTACACAGAGAATTATTAAAAATAGGAGAGTGCCAGAATGCTCAAGGAAATAAAAAAAGGTATAATCTTTATATTTGACAATCTGATAGAACTGTTCAAAACATGATGTTTGAATGTTTTTAAGAGTTTTATATTTGAAATGAGAATAAAAAGTCTATTTTGTATTAACATGTTTAATTAGTGGGTAATATTAAATATTAAAAATAAAATTTATGGTTATTTTATCTTCAAAATTAACATCTTTACTTACCTAGAAAATTATATCATGTTCTGATTTATGGATATTTCTGTCACTCTGAGTCAGACGTGGTGGCTCCCAGCACTTTGAAGGCCGAGGTGGGAGGACCACTTGAGCCCAGGATTTCAAGACAAGTCTAGGCAACATAGTGAGACCCTGACTCTTCAAAAAACATTTTAAATTACCTGGGCATGGGGGCACACACCTGTAGTCCCATCTGCTTGGGAGGCTAAGCTGGGAGGGTCGCTTGAGCCTGGGAGGTCAAGGGTGCAGTGAGCTGTGATTGTGCCACTGTACTCCAGCCTGGGCAACAGAGTGAGATCCTATCTCAAAAAAAAAAAAAAAAGATACTATACAAAAATAGTATAGAACTGGTATTCACTTATGTATATACTCAGAGAAATAAGATTTATTCCATATTTTTAAATGCCTTTGTTTTGATTGCCTATACCTGATGTCAACCTTTTCACTTGTACATATTGTATTTATTTTGGCCACCACAATCGCCATCTTGTCAGTTCCATTGAGGGTTCTTCTTAAAACAGATTTTTTTCCTCGTTTAAAATCAGACATATACTGTATATTCCATAAACACAAAGGAAATCAGACAGATATTATATATTCCATAAACACAAAAGAAATGGGACTGCTGAGGATTGTTAAATGTTTATGCTTGTGAATAGACAGTTTGTCTGCTTTAGTAGTTCACTGATGCTCTTATTCTCGTAGAACTTGAATCTTTCTCAAAATCAGAAAGCTAATGCCAGATCAATGATAGGATTCTAAAAATTGAATAGCCAAATGGTGAGGGATGCTTTATTGAAAGATTGTTATATTGTTTTAAAGGCAATAATTATTTCTTCAAAGTTGTGAGACAGTCAGAGTTGTGAGACCTGCTAGCATTTCTTTGAGGTCTGTGCTTAATAACAAATGGCAAGTTAAGATCCCTAAAATGACCTATTTGTGTGTCTCACCAAGGATAGTGACAGAATGCCTATTAGCCAATCTGCATTGTCAAATGCTCTGCATACAAGACGTATATTATCATCACTGATTACTAATCAATCTGTTAGATATTTATTACATGTAGTGCTGTTCCAGTATGGTGAGTAATGTCTTCATATGAAGAAAATATATTCCTAAAAACATAAGACATTTCACAGAAGAGCACACCAGTCAACCCATGTCTAGCTCTGGCTTTGTGAAGAGCATTGTAGGTACTTCTTATGCTGCTCTTAAGACCCATGCTGAATTCCAGACATTGCTAGCTGCCCTTCAATACACTATTTAATCTAAAATCTTGCACTTATTTATATATTTGGCCAGTAAAAACTTTTTTGTTCTGACTGTTTACCATCCTCTATTTAACTTGGCATTTATTTTGGTCTCTAAACTACATCTTTCTTATCCTAGAATTCAGTTCTAGAATTCTGAGATTTGATGAAAAGGTGTAAGTTTAACTTTTCACAGCTTCCATTGTATTTTAGAATTCTCAGCCTTCATCTTTTCCACTAAGAGTCTAATTTTTTTAGTTTGTTCTCATATGAATGCTGTTCTATCAGCTTTATTGTTTTGGTTCATTTTATTTAGACTGTTGCTTCTTTGTAGTTGTATCAAAGTGAAGCACCCCAGACTACTGATAATAGATGCATAGTAGTTTTATAAAAGTAGCATGGTAATGTTCTTATTCGTTTTCAGAAACTTTCTAAATAATGCTAAGATTTTGTTAGCTTTTCCTTTTTTTTTTTTTTAGTTGTAGAAGCACCCTGGGTTGATATGTTCTGAGAGTTATTAAACTAATTTCATACTCTTGTTCTACATGACAAATAATAGTTCCCTTATATATGTACATTAGCATTTTATATTATCATGATTACAGTTTTCTTCTATGCACTCATCCACATTGCAGTTTGACATTTGTTTCATTCAATTACTGAACTTTGCAAGATCACCATGAGGATTTTAGCATTCAATTCAGCATTCTACTTCCTGAAATTGCTTAGGAAGAATTGAAAAATAGGGAATTTTTTCACTCATTTCAAATTATAGGAAATAATGAAAACTTAAGACTGATCTTGAAATAATATTTTAGGAGAATATTGGATAAAATGGAAAATGCTCACAATATATTACTAAGTGGGAAACAAAAGACTGAAAAATAATGTGTATAGTATATTCCAATTGTATGGGAAGTATATATATCTTTATATGCATAGGGAAAAATATATTTACCACACATAAAAATGCTAAAGATGGTTTTTCCTGAATGTTAACATTACAGCAGTATATTATACTCTGATATCCTTTGTTATCCACAGTTAAGATATATATTTGACAATCACAAAAAAAGCAATCTAGTCTAGATACATGTAGCTCAGGGATATCACTACCAACTTATACCTTTTATAATAGATCCTCTATTTAATCTTTAAATTAGTAATTTCTTTATCATTACTCAGATTTGGGGTTTTTATTTGTGTGGTTGAAGTTTCTGAAGGTGTAGAATCTTCTCACAAGTTCTCTGGAAACCTAAAATTGTACTCACAAGTGGATATGTTCCTCAAAACAACAGACTTCTCCAGAATAGTCAAGCCTGACTTCCAGTAGAAAGCATGCCGCTTCCCCCACCTGATTATCTTTGCTTTTGTGTTTTTGTGATTTTTATTTCACTGGTTTGTCTCATATGAAAGTGAACATTATCCGCTTAGACATCTTCAAACCTCCTGTGGGTATTATACTATTTATACTAGTTTCTGCTTTTCCCCTCTAGTATTAATATGTGGTTGCAATTCCACTTTATAAATTGAGCAGCCAAAGAGTAGATGTATTTGAGTACTCTCTGGTTAGACTGTCAGAGTTAATGATATTTTATCTCTTTTATAGAACAGTTGCTCCCCTTAGACTTCTCATGACATAGTTCCTTTCCACAATACATTAGCAAGTTGGGTGTATTTCCTTTTTTCAAATGGGTTACCAATCTATTTTATTATAGGAAACAGTTTTTTCTTTTTATCCCAAAATCTTATCTACATATGCAATCCCAGTATTCTGCCAATTTTTAATGTATAATTGAAATTCCTTATTAATTGCTTCCTTTCTTCCATTAAAACCATTTGCACTTACAAGATGTAAATACTTATGGGATCTGAATGTATTAGAACTTGCAATTTCTGTAACTAAAAATGTTTCCACCAAAGTAATGATCTATCTCTGCAGCCTGTAATGGTCTAAATTAACAATATAATCGTAACAATTTATCATGTTAAGCTTAATTTTAATCATTACTTTATGTTTAATTTGTAGACTTGAATCATCTCATTTGCCTTCTATTAAAGAACCAGAAAGGAAAAGAAAAGAGCTGTTTTCAGTGATGCAAGATCAACCAAATCATGAAAAAGAATTGAACAAGGTATGAAAAATAATGAGCTCCATTTTTCCAGGTAGATGTGAACTCTTTACATACAAAGGGAGTTTAAAAAAATCTTTCTTCTCACTCTGTTTGTTTTCCTTCTGTATTTTTTTGTAAGGTGATAATCTACCAAGCTGCTAATTCCGACATTTTTCTGTGTGAGACTACAAAAAACACAAAACTTAAGTTATCATTCTGCAACTAGGAGACTTCCCGCGAAATGTTGAGGGTAGAGGGCCAGAGGCTCCATGATGGGTGGCTTACAGCAAGAAAGTTGAGAGCACAGACTCTGGTGCTCAACCATACACATAAGCTTGCAGAAGTTTCCTGTGCAAGATACTGAGGAGCCTCATTTCTAAGATGGAAATAATTGGTACCTACCTCATAAGTTTGTGATGAGGATTAAATGAGTTAATAATAACTGCTACTTAAATAGCAGTTACCATGTGCCAGGAACTGTTCTAAGGACTTAAGAAATCCTACTTCATTTATTCCTCACAACCATCTAATAAAGTAGGTCCTAATATTACCCTCTTTTTACATTTGAGGAAACTAAGGCACCGAGAAAAAGTAACTTCCTTCAAAATTACACAGCTATTAAGTGGCAGAGGCCATATTTGAATCTAGGCAATCTGGCTCCAGTATCCACACTCTTACCCTAAGTTAAAATCCATGAGATAATGCACTTAAAGTGCTTAAAATAGGATCTAGCTCAGAGGAAGCATCTAGTAAATATTGGCTCAATAGTTTTTTATTGCACCCACATTTTTTCACTGAGCACCTAACATGTGCCAGGAACTCTCCTGGAGCTAGAAATACAAGGATGAGTAAGTCGTGGGCACTGTCCTTAAATAGCTTGTAGTTCTTTACTCTCCTACAAAGAGTATTATTCTCTCCTCCCTCTAGTACAGTCTGGTAATGGCCTTCTTTCTATGAATTTATCATAGCTACTCTCCACCTCTCTGGTCTTTAGGTTTGAGGATCAGGCAGAATATTTAATGCTATAAAGTCTAAACAATTAAAAGTTAAATAAACCTGGGTGTGGCTTTGAATTATCAATTAGTGCACTGCATAGTGCTTGACACACAGTAAATGAAAATAAATACTTAGAGAATGAGTTAGTTAATATTAAGGTTAAATTTTCTCATAAATATATAGGGTCATAAATTCAGTTGTTTGTACAAATTTAACAAACATTTATTGAGTATCTAGGAGAACTATAGCTATTCTGCTAATTTCTATAGGAAATACAATAATATGAAAGACAGGTACCGTCTGCCCAAGAGTTGACTGTCAGAGAACTAATAGAGGTTAAGTAGAGAAAAGGTGTTATGAATCAATGATCATTTTTCATACATTTTGAACACTTTAATGCCATATAATCTTACAAAATTTATTTTACTGACTTGAAAATATAACTTTAAAAAACTCTTTTTCACTGGTGTCCCCAGTAAATGATAAAAGATTGGTTAAAGCCACCTATAGTTACATGATTCTTAACCTCGTAGATTTAGATAAAGTAATAAAACTTTGAGAAATATAAAGAATCTTCTGATTTTGCATAGTTTTGATATGGTGGGAGAGAATATGAGGCACAAAATTCTTTATAGGCTCTTGGAAGCCACTAGATACCAGAATGCTGTGCAAAAAAAGGTAACAAATGAATTTTATATAAATAGCTTCCAAGTGGCCAGGCACAATGGCTCATGCCTGTAATCCCAGCACTTTGGGAGGCTGAGGTGGGCAGATCACGAAGTCAGGAGTTTGAGACCAGCTTGACCAACATGGTGAAACCCCATCTCTACTAAAAATACAAAAATTAGCTGGGTGTGGTGGCGTACACCTGTAATCCCAGCTACTCAGGAGGCTGAGGCAGGAGAATTGCTTGAACTCGGAAGGCGGAGGTTACAGTGAGCCGAGATTGCGCCACAGCACTCCAGCCTGGGCGACAGAGCAAGACTCTGTCTAAAAAAAAAAAAAAAAAAAAAAAAGTTTCCAAGTGTTTCTGGAGAGCATTTTCATTCTCTTGTAATAAAACTAACAAGAGCTATATATTATGAATCTTGCAAGCATTTTATTTCTTTTCCTTTTTTCCAGTATAGAACTGTTTTAGCCATTTATTTTGTGATAACATTCACATTTTCAATAAACTAAAAGTCATTTGGAGTTCAGGTAAATTAGTTTCTTCTTTCATTAAGAAAGAAGCTTTGCAGTATAGCATGTTGTGTTAACATTGAAATATTGTGAAAATAATAAAAATAGTTTACTCCTTTTTCACAGTAGTATGTTCATTTTTTTACATTTTAAAAGTTCCATTTTGGCCAGGTGCGGTGGCTCACACCTGTAATCCCAGCACTTTGGGAGGCCAAGGCGGGCGGATCACGAGGTCGGGAGTTCGAGACCATCCTGGCCAATATAGTGAAACCCCATCTCTACTAAAAATACAAAAATTAGCTGGGCATGGGCACTCGCCTGTAGTCCCAGCTACTCGGGAGGTTGAGTCAGGAGAATCGCTGGAACCCGGGAGGTAGTGGTGCAGTGAGCCGAGATCGTGCCACTGCACTCCAGCCTAGGTGACAAAGCAAGATGTCTCAAAAAAAAAAAAAAAAAAAAAAGTTCCATTTTAAGTGGAACATGTTAAACTATGCCAAAGGGATGCGTTCAGCAAAATCCATACTGGGACAAACTATAGACTGACCATGTCATTTCATCAAATAAATTGGAAGGTAAAAACTTGGAGACAGAAGAGATTAAAAGAGACTTGTAATATTGTCCTCCGGGTTAGGATACTTATGCTCGTACCTCTTAGTCTCCGCCTCGTTCTCGTTCCTGTGAGTCTTTTAAAAAAAAATCTGTTAAATGATGAGGTTCAATCATGTGATTTCTAAAGTCATATCCAACTCTGAAATTCTAAATATGTTGGTAATATGAATAGAATCAGATGAAGGAAGGGTTGGTGGCATAAAGCCTGATGGTGGATCACATTTGGCTCTGGGCATGTGTACTTTCCATGTTAGGTCACCCCACTCTAAGTGCCATCCCCTGAAACACAGCTTTTTCTAATCTCACTCTAGGTATCATCCCCTAAAACCCAGATTTTTCCAATCTCTCTATAGGTGTCAGCCCCTAAAACTCAGGTTTTTCCAAATGTGAACCACTTTCCATACCTTCCAGGACCCTTCCCACAGAGGTTGCAGAGCACAACAGTTCACAGGTCCTGGAATTAGACTGCCTTTCACAAGAAATGTGATGTGAAAAGTTATGCACCTTAATTTTCTAATCTTCTAAATAGAGTAGTCTGCAAAATAGAGAGACATTGTGGGGATTAAATGAGATGATGCATGTAAAGTACTTAGAACACACAAAAAGAGAGGCTATAGAAAGATATGAACCAGTCCCAATGAATGGATCATATTTAGACCCTAATTCAATTAAACTTAAACAACATTTATTATATTTTTGAGACAAGCTTAAATTTGCATACTGCCTAGATACTTGATGAGATTGAGGAATTGTTACTTTTTACAGACATTGTAATAACATTCTGGCTGCATTTTAAAAAAGAGAGAGAGCCTTGTTCTTTTAAAGATATATACTGAAATGTTTAAAAGTGAAATGAAAAAAAAAATCCATTTTAAAAAAGTGCCCTGGAGAAAATTCGTATGTTTATTTTGTGACTAGCCTCTACTTAACTCTCCAGCCTTATTTCTCAGAGCAGCTAACTCCTAGGTACCCCAGACTCCTTTTAGTTCACTCAGTGTGTCATTGTTCTGTTTCACTCCCATGCTTACACTCACTGAGCTCTTTGCCTTCGAGCCCTCTTCCTCCTCCTCCTTTTTCTTCTTCCTCCTCCCCCTCCTCCTCCTCCTCCTCCACTTCCTTCTCCTCCTTTTTTTTTTTTTTTGACACAGGATCCTGCTGTGTCATTCAGGCTGAAATACAGTGGCACAATCGGGGCCCACTACAACCTGGACCTCCTAGGCTCAAGGGATCCTCCCACCGCACTGTCCCTTCCACCCGAGTAACTGAGACTGAACACACATGCCACCACACCTAGCTAATGTTTTTACTTTTCGTAGAGCATCTCTATGTTCTATTTTTTTCTATATCCTTTTTTTCTTTTCTTTTTTTTTTTTTTTTGAGACAGGGTGTTGAGACAGGGTGTTGCTCTGTCGCCCAGGCTGGAGTGCAGTGGCGTGATCTCAGCCGACTGTACTGCAACGGCTGCCTCCCGGGTTCCAGGCATCCTTCCCACCTCAGCTTGCCACACACTACCACGCCCCGCTAGAGCATCTCTATCTTCTAACTGGCATTCATTCATCCTTCAGTTTTGGGTCTGATGATCCTTCCTCTGGGAATCCTATCCTGACATCCCTAGGCTGGGTTACACACACTGCCACTACATACTGCTGACACTGATTGCTACACTGTGCTGTAATTGTCTATTTTTCTATTTCCTCCAATGGACTATGATTTTTTTTAGATGGATGATTATGTACTTTAAGTCTCAAGGATTGGAAACAGTAAGTGGTTTCTAGAAAGATACTAAAAGGCTGGACCAAGACAGCAGTTGTAGGAATGGAGAGCAGAGGCAAGATTTAAAAGAGGTTGAAATAGAATGGACAGAATTCATTGCCTGACCAGGTTTGGGAGGACAAGGGTGGAGAGGAGTCAGAGACAATCCAGAGGTTTCTAACATGGAAACGTAGCCAAGATTCAGAAAATAGGAGGCTTAAGCAAGGAAGTGATGAGTTTTCATGAAGACATTGTTTGAAATTTACTGTAATGTGATTCAGAGAAACAAATGTTTAGTTATAAACAGTACAGCCTGTTTTAGTTTTTAAAAAGCACTGAATTTAAAGCCAAGAGTGCTAGATTCCAGTCCTAGCTTTGCCACTTATTAGCTTTATGACTTTGAGCAAATCACATAACCATTTTAAAGCCAATTTTTTTCTCCATGAAAATGCTTGATAATACTTTCTTCACCTTCCTCTCAAAGTGGTTATCAAAGTAGTATCAGTCATAGGTGATGATTTGTATACAAAAGAAAATAGAAGTGAGAAATGAAATGTTGGAATTGGAAGGAATAAAGGTAATGAGTCATTATTATAAGTATCTGTTTTTAATTTAGCATTGATCAGAAAAGGAGGGTAAAGTGGGCCCTGACAAAGTTTTAGAATAGGAGGGCTGAACATGGCCATTAAAAGTTTTAAGCTATTCTATAAATAAAAGGATTCAATAATATTTCCAGTCTCTATCTGCTGCAGATAAGAAGCCAACTCCAACAGGAGGAAGAGTACCATAACTCTGAGCAGGAAAGAATGAGGAATGAAATCTCTGACCTAACAGAAGAGCTTCATCAGAAGGAGATCACTATAGCAACTGTCACGAAGAAAGCTGCCCTTCTGGAAAAACAGTTAAAAATGGAATTAGAAATAAAAGAAAAAATGTTAGCAAAAGAACAGGTATGCAAACAGGCAGAACAGTGCTTGTCTAGGGCACACTCTTGCTCAGTGCCAACTGGAGCCTTCATTATTGACTAATGAAAACATTGCATTTCTTGGTATTATTTCTGAGACTAGCTTCACAGAAATGCTTTGTGGTGTTACATAAATAAAACCTTTGAGAGATAACACGAAGTGTCACCAACAAAAAGCACTAGGGCAATGACAGTGCAAGACAATTTCATTCAATCTCTTCTTTCCATTTTCTTGTAACCTATATTCTGATCACCTCCCACAGTACACTCTAATCAAATATTTCTTTCTGAGTATTTTTTTCTGTATTTCTCTTCCATTAACATTTTTATCTTTAAAAACAAGTCCTATTCCATCTCTTCTTCAACACTTCCCACCCCTCCCCCACATTTCATGTATTTCTTTTAGACTTTTTACAAATAGATGTTGAAACATGAAAATTAGTTCATATTTACTGAACATGCAAATGCACAGCAAGGTGCATGGGGAAAAACAGCAATTGTAACATTCTTCTGTTGAAATACAAGTAATGTCTACATCCTTCCTTTCCTTCCTGCCTATTTATTTTTTAAATTCCCTCCATCCCTTACTCATGATCAAATGGATGGCCTACTATTGAAAGCACAGGGTTTATCTGCCTTTTTACCCCAAATCTAAAGGTTTTGACAGCATCATTTAATAATTTTCTAGGCATATGAGGGTCACTTCACAAATAGCACGCCTAAAATCATGTGAATTATGAAAACCGAAAAGATTTAGCCTTTGCCCAGTTGTAAGCCTTAAACCGCGATTTATTGGTGCAGTACACAGGAAAACAGCACAGATGGGAAAATCGCTTTGGTTGTACCTATAGAGGGAGGGATATTTTACAGGTGTTAACAGTGATCTGGGTAGTTGGATTATGAATAATTTTTATTTTCACCTTTATATTTTTGTACATTTTCTAGGTTTTGCCAATGAGCAAATAATTAGTAAGTGACAAAAGTAAATCTTTTTAAGGCAGGTGTTTTATACAGAAATGAGTCCTAGAGAAATCAAAGGACAGATACTATATCCAAGTCTTGTCAAGTAGAATAAATCAGGGAAAGATAAAATAAATTGAGAGACAAAATGAAGTAGTCACTAAAAAAGATGGAACTTTGGCAGAAATATCAGAAAGAACAAAATTAAACATGAAAGTTATGTATTGCCTATTGTAAAAATTAATCAGTTGTTGAATAAATTTAATGGACAGTTATTCAAACATGTTTTTAACATGTGCTTTTTCTGGTGACAATTTGCATACAATAGAAAATAGAAACCAGAAATTGAATTTTGGGATTAGAGGACAAAAGTAAATGAATCATTACTGAAAGTACGTGTTTGTAGTTTAGCATTGATCAGAAAAAGACATAAAGTGGTGCCTGCCAAAGATACAAGAACTAAATCAGAATACTTGAATGTTATTGATTATACCGAAGAAGTATTTCCCTTCATTACACTTAGAAAATATTTGTATTCGCAAAACAAAATTTTAATAGAATTATGAGTTTTTATTACAAATTTTACATCTACCTTTTATCTACTAATTTCAGGTCTCAGATATGAAATATAAAGCTGTCAGAACTGAAAACACACATCTAAAAGGAATGATGGGAGATTTAGACCCTGGACGATACATGGTAATATGCTGACATCATTCAATAAATTGAACAAAGAGATTACTGAATTGGTCACAATTAACTCAGACATCATTTATTGAGCACTTGCTATGTGTTAGACACGAAGGAGTTGGATGGTAAATTATCTTGCACTTCAGCTGAAGTTACTTTTATCCTCAGGCTAGAACATTGGAATGTGATTTTCTCCCTTGTTCTTTGGTTGGATTGGGCTCAAGTCTGATCATTTCCCTCAAATATGCCAAGCATGCTATTTCCTTGCTTTTGTTCTTGCTGTTGCCTTTGAAATCCTACATCCTACATGGCCTGATTCAAGTGCCAATCTTCCCCCAACGAAGCCACCCCTGAAACCCCAGTCAGAATGAATACCACATTTAGTTTGTATTTTGTTCTGGCTTGTTTTGTTGCTTGTCACTTTCCCAGTGGATGGCAAGCAGGAAACCATGTCTTATTGGTGTTTGTTTCACCAGTACCTCACATCTTCAGGCATAAAGTAAGTGTTCAATGAGTGTTGGTTGATTTAAAAGAGGGAGAAATGAATGAATTACTGAGGATAAGGACTTCTGGTTTTAACCAATGGCTCTATAGGTTTACACAAAGGAACTTAAACAGTCTCTGTTTATCTCCTTTTTTTTTTTTTTTTTGAGATGGAATCTCGCTCTGACGCCCAGGCCGAAGTGCAATGGCGCAATCTCGGCTCACTGCAAGCTCCGCCTCCTGGGTTCACGCCATTCTCCTGCCTCAGCCTCCCGAGTAGCTGGTACCACAGGCGCCCACCATCATACCTGGCTAATTTTTTTTTCTGTATTTTTAGTAGAGACGGGGTTTCACCACATTAGCCAGGATGGTCTCAATCTCCCGACCTTGTGATCCACTCGCCTTGGCCTCCCAAAGTGCTGGGATTACAGGCGTGAGCCACCGCGCCCGGCTTCTGCATCTCTTTTCAATTGTTTAATGTAACAATAGAAAGTTGATCTTTATAGGAGAATTTTTATTTATTGAATGAATGAAATATTGTTAACTTGTTATCATTTATTTGCTCTGAGGAAATTCTAAGATAATTTTCTACCATATGAGGAATGGAAAGGATAAGAGATGAAAATGGTAATTACTTAATCAGGCCTCAGTTTCCTCAGCTATAAAATGAGGGAATTGAATTAAGCATTCTCCATTGGCCCTCCTTAAGCTATCATACTATATTTCTGTGATATTATGTACTTGTTCTCATAATGGTCCATATTCTAGCATCGAAAGAGTAGAAACATTCTGGAAGCATTCTGTCTTCTTCTTTGGGCATGGTTAATGAATCCTGTGATTGGAGTACAGATGAATAAAAAGTAAGGCATAAGTGATTTTCCTATTTGTTACATTGAAAAAACTGTGTGTCACCTATGACACTTTTGTTTCTAAATGCTGAACACACAAAAAGTTAAATCAGATCCTGACTCCATGAGTGCCTTTTTCACTCACAAAATGGTATTTGTGTTTTTTTTTTTTACATTTCAGTCTGAATGTTTTTAAAGTGTAAATTCTGGGTTATCACAGCCCCCACTGAGAGTGCCTAATTCTGGCTCCTTTAGGAGTTTGACTTTGTGCACCTTTTTGTGTTTTTAAGAAATAGCAGACACAGAGATGTATAAAGAAGCTTATGACCCACAACCCTATCCCAATCCAAAGATATCCAGTGCTAACGAATTAGTGTTTGTGGTAGCATTCTGTAACTTTTTCCTTGCATATGCACACATAAGGAGGAGATGGGTTGAATGTTCTTTTACAGAAATAAATGTACAATATATACATTATTCCAAAACTGCATTTTGACAGTCCATGAACATCTCTACAAATCAGTAAACATCCTTTCATTTTTCTAATTTCTTAGAAAAAATGACGTAATTTTTTACAAATTTAATCGTAACTTACATAAGGGCAATTTTAGTGTAGTCATTTTGTTGTTGCTGCTTGCTTTACTCCTCCCTCTTTCCTCCAAACATCTACCCACATTATACCCCCTCCTCTAGATGATACATGTTAACTACTTGGTATGTATTATTTTAAACTTTTTCATATATATATACATATAGTCATATAGTACCTATTTGGGGATTTTATCATCTTTTTAAAGTTGAATCATAACACATACTTCTCTGTGTCTTGTTTTTGTTCACTCAACAGTATCCCTTGGAATCTTTCCAAGTTAACTAATTTAAGTCTATTTTATTTTTATAATAGCTTGATAATACTCCATGGTGTGTATCAAAATTTATTAAATGATTTTTATAGTTATTTCAGGGATAATTTATTCAACTCTGTTTCCAGAGTTTTGCCTGATGAACAATACGGTAAGAAAAATCCTTATATATACACCTTGGAATAGCCTTCCTAGGAGTAAAATTGCTAATTCAAAGGATATGTTTGTTTTAATTTTAATCGCTATTGTTAAATCATATGTCTACCATCTCTGTATGAGAGTACCTTTTAAAATTTCATTCTTGTAGGCAATAGGTGTTATTGGTCTTTTTAATTTTTGTCATTCTGATGGTTATAAAGTAATTTCTCAATAGGTCTTTAATTTGCATTTCCCTGACTTACCAGGTGAACATATTTTTGTATATTTATTGACAATGTGTACCAATATGAATTAGAAATATCCTTTGCCCATTTTTCTGTTGGCTTATTTGTCTTTTTTGTGTCAATTTTTTATTTTTATTTTTTATTTTTTGAGTTGGAGTCTCACTCTGTCACCCAGGCTGGAGTGCAGTGGTGCAATCTTGGCTCACTGCAGCCTCCACCTCCTGGGTTCAAGCAATTCTCCTGCCTCAGCCTCCCAAGTAGCTGGGATTACAGGCACATGCCACCATGCCCAGCTCACTTTTATATATTTTCAGTAGAGACGGGGTGGCCAGGTTGGTCTCAAACTCCTGACCTCAAGTGATCTGCCAGCCTTGGCCTCCCGAAGTGCTGGGATTACAGGTGCGAGCCACTGCGCCCACCCTCATGTCAATTTTTAACAATGCTTTTCCAAATCTGTTGTTTGTAACTTTATGACTTTTTTTGGCCATGCAAAATGCTTTAAACTTCTACTTGATCTCTTTGTTTATAGCTTCTTAGTTTCCTTCTTTGACTAACAGTTCTCCCTTCTATATATATATAGCGTCAGTTTTTTTTCAAAGATTATTATATCTGTCATCCAAGTCTTTAATCCATTTATTTTGCATGGGATATAAAATGGAAACCAAATTTAAATTTTTATGTAACCATTAAGCTCAATTTATTTAGTTTATCCTGGTAATTTCCTGTTGGATCCTATCTGGAATTGAATTAAGTTTATAGGTTAACTTTGATTTGGCATTTTCATTATAGTAAATTTTTCCATCCGAGAATGGCTTTCCATTTCTTCATATTTTATGTTTTTCAATAAGATCTTACCATTTTCTTTGTATAGGTTATGTCCTTTTCTTTTAAAATGTATTTCTAGGTGTTTTTTAAAGATGAGTTTGCTGTTAAAATAAAAAAATTAAATAAATAACAAAATTTATTCCCAAGTGTTTTGCAATTTTTAGCACTGTTATGAATAAAATATTTTCCTTTTTCAATATCTTGTAACTTATTGTTAATATAGAAAAATACGAATTATCTTATTAATTTAAGTAGACTTTTTACTAGAGGTTTCTTAGGGTTTTATGAGATACAAAATCATATCAACAAAAATAGTATATTTCTGTGATATTGAAATCTGCCAATAGTAGGTTTTTTCTTGTTGATCATATACCATTTGCAAAAACCTCCAAGAAAATGTTAAATAATTATAGTGCTTGATGGAAATTTTTCTAGTTTTTGATTTTAAGTGATGTGGTTTTAGAGTTTTGCTGTTTCATATATTTGTTCTTAATTTATGGTCTTAGTTATATCTTTTTCTATTTTACTTAGAGTTGTTATTAAGAATTGCTGCTGGTTTTATCAAATGCCTTTTTAGGAAATATGACATTATATGGGTTTTGTTTTTTAATTTATTGATGTGTAATAGACTATGGTTAACAGATTCCCCAATATTGATCCACCTTTGAATTTTTGGAATAAACCTTTTTAGTCATTGTCTTAGTTTGATAGGGCTATTGTAACAAAGTACCAAAAGCTGGCTGGCTTGAAACAACAGAAATTTATTGTCTCACAGTTCTAGAGGCTTGAAGTCCAAATTCAAGGTGTCAGCAGGACTTTGCTCCCTCTGAAACCTGTAGAAGAGAATGCTTCATTACCTCTTCCTGAATTCTGGTAGTTTGCCAACAATCGTTGGCATTCCTTGACTTGTAGATACATGAGCCCAATCCTCTGTCTTCATATGGCATTCTTCCTGTACCTCTGTCTTCACCTGGGCATCTTCTTCCTGTGCTTCTTCCCATCATCCTCTCTCCTTTTGTGTCTGTTTCTGTGCCCAAATTTTCCCATTTTATAGGATGCTAGTCCTATTGGATTGGGGCCCACCCTAGTGACCTCATTTTTTCTCTGTAAAGACCCTGTTTTCAAATAAGGTCACATTCTGAGGTACCGAGGGTTAGGATTTCAACATGTCTTTTTGGGAGTAGCACAACTAAACTTATAATAGCCATATCTTAGCAATTTTGATATACTATCGGATTCTATGTGATAATATTTTATTTAGAAATGAAGATCTGCAGACCTCCAGTTTCAAAACGGTGGCATAAAAGCAAACTGGCTTAATTCCCCCCACAGAATACCAAAAACAAATATGCAAATAAAGGCTATATATGACAAATGTACAGCTAACATCACACTAAATGGGGAAGAATTGAAAGCCTTTCCTCTAAGATCTGGAACAAGATAAGAATGCCCACTTTCACCACTTTTATTCAGCATAATACTCAAGTCCTGACCAGAGCAATTAGGCAAGAGAAAGACACAAAAGGGCATCCAAATTGGAAAGGAAGAAGTCAAATGAACTCTGTTCACAGATGATATGATCTTATGCTTAGAAAACCCTAAAGACT